TACAGTTCCTTTGACTTGTATTCTTTTATTAATTAATTATTTTATTTGTCTACATCCCAAATATTGCTCCTTTCATTCCAGTCTCCCATCCCATAGTCCTTCCTCACATATCCTCTCCCTTTTACTTCCCTTCCTCCCTGGGATCCCCCTTCCCTGGGGAATCAAGTCTCTACAGTATTAGAAACAACTTCTCCCACTGAGGTCAGATAAGTCAGTCGTCTGCTATACATGTCCCGGAGGCCTCAGAAAAGCTGATGTGTGTTCTTTTGTTAGTGGCTTAGTCTCTGGGAGCTCCCAGGAGTCGGAGTTAGTTGACACTGTTGTTCTTCCTATGGCCTTGCTATCGCTTTCAGCTCCTTCAGTCCTTCCTCTAACTCTTCCATAGTGGCCCCCGACCTCCTTTCAATGATTGGCTATAAGTATCTACCTCTGTCTCAGTCTTCTGCTGGTAGACGTGTATTTTTGTCGTTTTGTGTTCATTTTATTGGAAGCTTCCTTGTGCAGGCTTTTGCCTTGATGGAACGCTTCCCCTTTTATCCCAATTTAAATCTTCATCTCCTTATCTCTCTCGTCACATGGTTTGAGTTTAATAGTAAGCGTCCTGGCTGCCCCTTTTCTTCTCAAACTGTACATTTTGTATTCCTTTTTGCCCTACTTGTTCATGTTCATTGTAAGGCTGCATTAGCATAACTAATGTTGCCCATTACAGGACAGAGTCAGTGTTAGACTCTCAGGAAATGTCCTCCAAAGAAAGTAGACCCTACCTTTAAATTTAGCCTTGACCTCAGGCATGCTCTTAGGGAGAGGGCGGAAACCACCTACATTATTTGCAAAAGAATCACAAGCATGATTATTAATTTGCGCTCCACCCCATACTCACAGATCAGGCCTCTGTAGTCCACATAGTTCTCAGCTCTAGAGTCTTTCAAAATCCAATCAGGGAGTCACACTTATCTCCATTTACAACGATCAACTACTTTCCTTGTCCAAAAAATCCCAAATCTTCCATATTCTTTCAGGAACATTATCACTTGGCCCGTCATAAATATGACCCACTTCCCGGTGCAAACTACTGTATCAATTACTTTTCAACTGTTCTGATAAAGCCCCATAACCAAAGCAATTTTGAATTGAATTGCACTTAAGGTTCCAGAGGGTTACAGGGCAAATTACAGCACAAGCAAATTACAGGACTATTGGCTAGAGTAACAAATGAGATCTTAACATCTTGATACACAAGCCAATTAAGCAAAGATCACACTGGGAATGGCATGAGACTGTTGAAACTTCAAAGCCTCCCCACCCCCAGTGACACATGTGTACATTCTAAATCTTTCTTTGCTGTTCCTCCAGCTGAGGAAGAACCATCCAAACATAACACCCTAGGAAGCCATTATCATTCAAAGCACCACAGCATATAAAGAAAATAGGTTTATTGACTTATTCAAGATTCTGAAGGATGAAAAGTCCAAACAGCATGCAGCCAGGTCATCTGAGATACAAACTCCTGGAAGCAGCAAAGAATAATAAAGAAACAGGGAGGAAAAAAATAATTCAGTACAATTAGAAAGGTAATTATTCTTTACTGGGAATGATCCATTCTGACATCATTGACTTCCACTAGATTTTACCTCTTCTAGAGTCACCTGTCAACCCACTGAATGATGGTAGTGCTTCCACCATGTGAACCTCTAGGACACAGAGCAGATAGACAAAACCATTGTTCTTATATTAAAGTCAAGAAATTGGTTTAATTTATCCACTTGACAATTATATATAAAAAATAGATGCTCAAATTAAAGTATTGAAATAATACTTTAAGTTTTGCATATTGTTTTGAAAACTTACCATGAGGTAAAGTGAGGTAAATGAGGTAAAATCATGAGGACTGTATGTGCATCTTCTGCAACCATCATTTTGCCCTCCAACTCCTCTCTGTGTAATATTACTGTGGCACACATATACTCTAAAAAAACGAACAGAATCAATTGAAAACATTGAGAGAATAGCATACTGCAAAATACTAATTTTTGAGTAAATGTTCACTAAGTTAATAACATTTACTGAATTAAGCTGCTGTCTTTAGACCTCTATGTCAGCCTTAGGACACTAAAAAAATATCATCTCATAAAAAATTAAAGGACAAAACACACAAGTAAATAAGTGAAGTTCCATTAAAGTATAAGCACAAATGGTACCATGAATACATTCTTTGTCAGGTTTGACATTTTTTTCCAATTTCCAAATTTCAATTGGGAGTTATTTTTTATCCTTTGTTTATCTTTAATCTTTTTGTACAGTCCAGACTTTATCCCCCTCCCAGTCCACCCTCTGACTGTTCTGCATCCCATACCTCCACCCCCTATCATCTCCATTGTCTCCAAGAGGATGTGCCTACTCCCCTATCCTCCACCCCACCAGACCTCCCCACTCCTTGGGGCCTCAAGTCTCTTGAGGGTTACGTGTATCTTCTCTCACTGAAGCTAGACCTGGCAGTCCTCTGCTGTATATGTGTTGGAGGCCTCATGTCAGCTGGTATATGCTGCCTAGTTGGTGGTTCAGTGTCTGAGAGATCTCAGAGGTCCAAGTTAATTGAGACTGCTCGTCTTCCTATAAGGTTGCCCTCCTCCTCAGCTTCTTCCAGCTTTCCTTTCAACCACAGGGGTCAGCAGCTTCTGTCCATTGGTTGGATGTAAATATCTGACATTTTCAGCTGGTTTTTGGGGCCTTTATGAGGGCAGCCATGATAGGCCCCTTTTCGTGAGAACGCTATATAACATCAGTAATAGTGTCAGGCCTTGAGGGCTCTCATTGAGCTGGATCCTACTTTGGGCCTGTCGCTGGACATCCATTTTTTCAGTCTCTTCTCCATTTTTGTCCCAGCAGTTCTTTCAGAAAGGAAAAATTATGGGTCAGAGTTTTGACTGTGGGATGGCAACCCCATCTCTCACTTAATGGCCTGTCATTCTGGCAGGGGATAGGCTCTACAAACTTTCTCTCCCCAATGTAGGGCATTTCATCTAAGGTCCCTCCCTTTGAGTCCTAAGAGTCTCTCACCTCCCAGGTCTCTGTTATATTCTAGTGGGTCCCTTCAACCTCCTCCCTCCCAAGGTTGCCTATTTCTTTCTGCTGGCCCTCAGGACTTCAGTCCTTTTCCCTCACCCAATACCAGATCATGTAGGGGGTTTCATCAAAGGTTTCTCCCTTAGAGTCCTGAGAATCTCTCACCTCCCAGGTCTATGGTTCATCCTAGAGGGGGGAATTATTTTCTAATCTATTGTTTTTATTTTCCAAGCTGCTTGTGCTTTTAGCGCATCAGCTAAATTACAGTTGCTAAAAATAGTAGCTTGCAGAGTTTGCCTTTTGATATATATATATATATATATATATATATATATATATATATATATATAAGTTAAATAGGTTAACTACAATAGAACAATGCTGAGGTCACTTGTCTGCAGTATTCCAATTATTTGTCAGATTACTTTAATGATCCTTCTTATTTTACTGCCTCTACATTGAGCTTCTTAGACTGCATTATGTTATAAATTTATTTGGTGGATAGCAACTATAACAACGTCAGGTTGTTATAAGCCTTTTGCTTATGGTCCTAGCATTTATATCCCCAAAGTAGTCACTGTACCAGTTAGATTCTGGTAAATTATGATTGGGATATCCCCATTCACCTCAGATAAAAAGAAGCCCCATGTTAAACCTGATAATACTTCTTTCATGAATATGATAACTTCAAGATAACAGAAATCACCTTTCAGTGTGATGCACTTGACCTCCTTGATTTCTGATATCTTTCACCTCTACTTTCTAGTCACATACACTATGCAGATGTAGTTTTTTCTTCCCATCGGCCACCACATTCAATCACTTCATTCCCTTTATTGTAAAGGAACTGCCTTATCTCCAATTCTTGAAAATTATCCTTATAAAATGCTTTTGCTGGTTCTATTTTATAGTTAGTTGAACAGTACCTAAGTGATTTGGGGGATAAGATTAAACTTTCTGAAAGCATATTTATAATATGTTTTTGAGAATACATTCCTTAATAATATTTGGGAATATTTTTATAAATGAATTAAAGAGACTTTAGAAATACAAATATATATTATTTGCGGTTAAATATTTTGATGTCAGAACCAACATTATGCATGTTTTTTTTAATCCCCACAAAGGGATTGATGCTCATACATGTGTTTAAAATAAATATTCGTAATTCCTTTGCCAGTAGATACTCATTTCAAATTCCTGACAGAAATCCAAAGATGATAATAAACAGTCAGACCTTGACATTATTAAATGATACATGAGACAGTTATGCTAATTTAGCCTTAGACTTATCCATCATTTACCATCCAAAAGTCTCTTTTGAAATAAAATTGCTATTCCAGCACTTTGAAAATGTGACTGCAAATACATTTTTTTTAAAAAAAAAAAATAAAGACGATATACATTCAGGGACATTGCAAAAACTTATGATCTTTATTTTATTCTAAAATGTAAAAATGATTAAAATATGGACTATTTATGGCAATTAGTTTAGTAAATTATTTGTGGAGACAAAAGTTACAGGTAAAAATCACCAGCATTTAGGTTTTGGTCTTATTTTGATCTTTGATGTTGATCTTTGAGACAGGGTCTCTCTACTTAGTGCTGGCTATCCCATAAGTCAGTATGTAGACAAGGCTGGCCTTGAACTCACAGAAATCAACTACCTGCCTCTCCTCCCTATTGCTGAGATTAAAAAACAAACATACCTTCACTCCCAGCTGGCCATTTAAATTTTAAACATGTTCAAATGGTCTATTTAAAAAAAAAATGTTTCACAGCAAATAAAAGTAGTTGTGGTTTATAAAATAGTAATTTTGGTCACTAAAACAAAGGTAAGAATCAAGACAGAAGTTAGATGGAGGATTTTCTCAGACTCTTCTGCGTTATGTTACATTAGTGGTGGTATGGACCTGGTTCTCTTCTGCTTTGCACAGGTGATCAAGGCAGTGGAAGAAGGCTACCGCCTGCCAAGCCCCATGGATTGTCCTGCTGCTCTCTATCAGTTAATGTTGGATTGCTGGCAGAAAGATCGAAACAGCCGGCCCAAGTTTGATGAAATAGTCAACATGCTGGACAAGCTGATACGAAACCCAAGTAGTTTGAAGACATTGGTGAATGCGTCAAGCAGGTACAAGGCCAGATTTGAATAATTTTCCTGAGTATATCCAATCAGGTTGATGTCATAAATATGTTATCAATTTAGTCAGTTATGTATTAATATGCAAGTCTGTATGTCATTAGTTTATTTAACTATAATCTTCCATAATATTTCAACCCTTGAAAGTAAAAAAGAATGAGCAATTATAACTAAAAGGACATTTGCCTTACCTAGTTGTGTAAATTGTCATTGTTATGAAAATAAATGCACAGCTCCATTGAAATAGCATTAGAAAACAGGGTTCAAATGTGTTCGGAGCCTACGTCCAGATAGAGACATCAGATTAAAGAAAGCTAAGGAAGCACTGGTGCCTTTTAATCTGGCCGTCTAACTGTGATTACCCATGAACTCTTTAGAATATATTTCAGCAATGGTGATTTACATATAATTACACCATACCATCCAATTTATGAACAGTGATGACAGTGAGGACCTATTTGCTTGTACAGAGATATTTGGTTCATTTAGTATTCAGTTGAAGATTTAAAACTGATAAATGAATAATCTTGGAAATACGTGTACAAACCAATAACCATAGTTTCTACTTTTCTGAATTGCAAAAGGAATACATTTAAATAATATTGAGTACTTGCAAAATATAATTTTCTCCTTATCAGAAAAATATTGAAATGTTCCCTCTAATAAAAATCAAGTTGGTTCTAAATTATGAAATTTACTAGATTATCACTTTTGGTGTATTTAATGCTGATGTGTATTTTTTTTACAAGAAAGGAAATCATGCTAGTAGCTGATTTGGCTGCCTATTAAAGTGAACTGAGTAAAACTGCTGCTTACAATAAAGTTGAATAAATTCTATGATGTTTATGCAACACTTGCTTACTAGTCAGAAAGTCATTTTAACATAAGACAAAAATGAACCTTCGAAATCTGTTGATGCTCTTTGAACTTTCTAAGATAACAGCTAAAGCCTATATCTTCTTAGCAATTATTCCATATGTCATGTTCTAAATAACTACTTTAAAATTCCCTTTGGTCATGTACAATATTAAGCCATTCTCGTATTTATTTATTTGAATGATGTTGAAGTGATTGTCACAAATGAATATAAGGAAAGATGATAGGAGAAATGTACTTAATGTTCTAAATCATATTGAGTTTTCAAAATCACCATTTTACATTCTTATACATATATTTTATTCTGGTCATAGCTTGAAATTCATATGAGAAATATGGAAACTGAAATCAAGTGTATGTGAAACCTTAACTGGATATTAAAACTTTACAAAATGAATATTATTTAATGCTGTCAAAAATGAACAATGAAAAGTAATTTCCTTTATCTTTTGAAAATTTACTAGTTTATTATAAGTCCGTATTCATAATCTAAAATAAAAATCTAAGATTTATTTTTTATTTTTCCCATTTATATTTTGAATAATGATTTTATATATTTCCTATAACTTAAACTTTGTCTCAATGATTTATTGAATTTGATTGAACATTACATGTACAAATCAAAAAGGATCAGTTTGTTACTTCTAATATTTATGTTTTGTGTGTTCTAGAGTATCTACTTTGTTGGCAGAACATGGTTCTTTGGGTTCTGGGGCCTACAGATCAGTAGGTGAATGGCTGGAAGCAATCAAAATGGGCCGATACACAGAGATTTTCATGGAAAATGGATACAGTTCAATGGACGCTGTGGCTCAGGTGACCTTGGAGTGAGTAGTTTTTCTGATCATTTTTACATAGTTGTTGGGGCAAGAAATGTATATTCAGACACCAGAGTGGATGCAATCAAGAGAAAAAAAGTTAACATGTGTCCATATGTGGCAGCTTTCAAAGAAGCCTCATCTTTTTTAGCCTGTGCTGTTAACAGCTGCATGGTCCATGCTCCTTGTGTCCAGTATCTTTGCTATTTTGTTCATTCAACAGCACTTGAGTGTTCAGATAACTGGAATCACAACTCTTTGGCAAAGTACTGGTACTTTGTGTTGTGGAAAAAGATGTTTCCTTGAGTTTTTATACTGGTACTTATGTTATATGAATGTAAATATAAAACGAAACAAGCTGTAAGCACAATTGGTGTCGTTAGTCCTGTGTAACAAAAAAAAAAATAAAGAAATAGAAAACGATTAAAAAGAAAGAAAAGAAACAAAAGAAAAAGTGAAAGACAGAGAGAAAGAGAGAAAGAAAGAAAGAGAGAGAGAGATAGATAGATAGATGGATGGATAGATAGATAGATAGATAGATAGATAGATAGATAGATAGATAGATAGATAGAAAGAAAGATTTCCAAATGACAAAATGTCAGCTTTCAACAGTGAATAACCAGGTAACAGCTTAAATAAAGTTTTTCTGGCAGGAATTTCATTTAATAGCTAAATGGTGCAACTTAAATTTTGCAGTCTGAGAATATGTTAGATCCTGCCTCTGATGTGTTGTAATTTGATACAATCTCAGTGGAACCAGTTGTGCCCATTTCTGTTTGCACGTTTAAGATACAATTTATTGAATCCTATTAAATAAAAATTACTAGAGCTAAATATTGAATTCTTTAAGATTGTAAGTCATTTGTACTTTATTATATAATCTTTATGTGTAATTATTTTAGCCTAATTGCTATTTGTGAAAGTTAATTGTCCTATTATGGTTCCATCTAGAGTTCATCTAAATGAATAATGTTTTAACCTGTGCGAATATAACTGAATTCAAATGACCTGTGAATTTAAAGTTTAAAATATTGTTATAAGGACTTTAAAATATTAGGATGTTCTAAGTCACAAAACCACCGTCTGCACTCCATCCTTCCATGTAGTACCAATACTGAGAGGTTCTCCAGACATCCCTACCTATCATTCTGGCATTCTTGATTCATTGAATTCACTGCTCATCCCCAGGAAAGGTAACAGGGTACCATTTATTACCGATTAATATCACAGTCTCAGCACTGTCTTCCTTTGTACTGATCACTAAACGAACATAAAATCACAACCACTTGGCTTGATTTCTTAGTTTACTTAATTCCATTCTCACAGCTACTACTAAGTCACATCTTTTTGAAGCCATGAATGTTTTGCCCATTATTTTTTTGATGCTCAAGAATCTCATCTGTGCTGTATTTAAGACAGTTACTAAAAAAAAGAAAAATTCCTAATGATTTAAAACTATTTTTACATACTTACTATTTAATTTTTCAGTAAAAATGGTCATTTTAATTTATTAAAGTCATTTGTCATTTTATATTAAAATGATACTGTAGGTATTTCTTCTACCCAATGTCAGATTACTTGTACATATACAATAAAATTATTTGCATTAAACAATGTCTCTGTTTTTATTGAGATTATACATGGTCATATATTTAGTTAGGACTGTAACTCTTTTGTTTATCCCTTCACAGACAATACAAGAATATTAATTTATTTAGTCTATATTCTAAAATTTATTTTGGTGTGTGTGTATGTTATCTTCCTGTGAATTGTTTCAGTTCTTGGGGACCTCAAAATAATAGAAATGTGTTTAATATTATTGTGTTCTGTTTTTAGATTTTTTTAAATTTTTTTTTCCTATTTTTGTAATCTCCTAGACTCTCTTTAGTATGTGTGTACTTTCTCAAGACTGAAGATGCTCTTTATACTTGTTCTTTTCTTGTTAAACTGCCCCTTTCAGTTCACCTTTCTAGTCATTGACTGGAAACAGTAAAGTCAAAAAATGTTGTCTTTTGTAAATTACTTCAAATTTCTGAGATCCATAGTCATTATCATAATCCTTACTGGGAACTGGGCATGCTCAATCCCCATCATCAAAGAGGTAAATTTCTTTGAAGAGCTTGAAATTATTTGGAGCATGCCCTGCTGCGTGTGGTGACTTTTTATGATCACAGTATTTGTAATTAGTACGGTATATTTATCAAGACATTACTTAAAGTAAATCACAAAATAAGGAATCATCAGTTGTTCCTTGGTCAAAGGCTTAAAAGAATCATTTATATACTTCTTTGACATTAACAAAGAGAAAAATAAAATTGCCCACTGTTGATAAATAATACAAAAGAAATGAGGTAGCCACACAATTCAGGGACACGCTCTTGGAATACCCCGAACAAAACTTGTATACCTAGTTGCCACCCAATATCTAAATATTAATTTTATGGATCTTTGGAAATATTATAATAAGGCAATACAATGTTACCCTTAGAAGCCAATACGGACTGAAAACATTCTTCGTGTGTAAATGTTTATAAAAATGTTAAAACAATCAAAAAACAAATGCACAATTATTATGCATACAAAATATATTTCTCTGATGACAAGTTTAGGTGCATATTAAATGTATAAATATAAGCATTGAAAACTGTTCCAACTATACCATTGGCTGAAAGTGACCTTCATGTGGGTTATTGTGTTCATCAACTATTTGGCAATATATATATATGAGGAATAAATATTAAAGGCTTGAATATCTTGAAGTAAGATATATTTGATAAGAGTAGCTTTTAACTTTAGATACTTTTCCCCTCTCCTATCTTCTGTTCCCAAACTTTGCTATTCTGTCTGTATACAGTCATCATATTTGAATAATCATAGCTAAAGTGATGGCAATACTCTCCTATCATACATAAGTACTGTGAGTTACAATTGACAAGGGAAACTGAGCTGGAGGCAAGGAGAAAGGTGAAATCAAAGATTTCAAGTGAGGAAACCAGGAAGGGGACACTTGAAATGTAAATAAATAAAGAAAATAACCAATTTAAAAGAAAAAAGAAAAAATGATTTCAATTAAGAGCATCATTAAAGCTTTTTTGTAGATTTATTTTCTGGCTAGTGCTCTCAAACCTTGGTTATTCAGAAAATGAGGAAAATCCAGTGAGTTTAAATATTATGATAATGTTATGAAAACAGAATAGGTTCCTGAAACAGTTATATGGATAGAGTCTATGATACTAAAACATCAGTTTTCTAAATCTGGAACCCAAATTTGTGCAGTTTAACACAAATAGCTTCATTAACCCATGAAGGAAATCATTATACATAATTTAACTATGTTCTCAAAGCACACATAGGAGAGCTTGCTATTCTCTGTATTCTATGCAATTAAGCTAAAGTTCTGACAGACTTTTTTAACACGATGTCATCTCCTCAAAACAATTGAATATGCTCTTGGTAAATATATTTATCTTGCACAGACCTCATAAGTGGCTATTCAGAATTTTTTTTTTTTGAAAAAAAGTGAGGAAAAAAAAACTGGAATCACAAGGCTCCTTCATAAAACTGATAAAGGCAAAATTTTATGAAGTTGAGTGACTATTCATTTCCCTCTCTTGTCCCTTTTACTATCCAGCTAGTAGTGATGGAACTTAATGACATGGCAACAAGGTATATAAACACAATGTAGAATGAACAACTCTCTCTCTCTCTCTCTCTCTCTCTCTCTCTCTCTCTCTCTCTCTCTCTCTCTCTCTCTTTGTGTGTGTGTGTCCTCTTTCTTTCTCTGTCTGTATGTGTGTCATCTGTATCTCTGACTCTCTCTGTCTCTCTATCTTTCTCTCTCTGAAATATGTTTCTCTGTCACACACACACACACACACACACACACACAAACACACAAACAAGCACTGTATTCTAAGTAATCAAATGGGTACTCCATATGTATCAGATACTTCTTACTCTTTAGTTTATCCTACTACTTCAGAATCACAATGAAGAGTGTTTCTCATTATTTAATTCCATAAAACAATATCTGAAAAGATGTCGAAATATGATCTCAGCAACAGCATTACATTCAGTTACAGATCTGAAACATGTCAAGTCTTGTCAGTATAATGAAGTCTTCTAAGTCTTTTCATCATGTTTAACCAAGTAAGTCTGTGCATAAGGGTCCTGTGCCTGCACTAGAAACAGCCCTAAGTATTTCTCAGATAACAAGTGGTCACAAAGCCATTAATGTAATGTATATTAAGGGGACACATCTAAAACTACCAAGACATGACATGCCCTAGATGCAAAGCAAAATAAGAAAAGGACTGTTTTCTTCACCATCAGAAAATATTTCATCCCAGGAATCATTGTACACTAATGGACCCACTTCAGTTTTACACACAACGTAAAACAATAAAATGAAGATATTTATCTTACCAATATTTCTGATTACTACTACTGATCTGCCCACTTTATATATGTACGATGCAATAAAGTAGAAACTGTTATGATTGTGAGGTGGCTTATTGCTTAAAGCACTTTCTGAGCAATCATAAAGCAGCACATAAGAGGTAAGCGTCTTACAAACCCATCTCTGGGACCAGAGACAGGCAAATCCACGGCAACTCAGTAGTCAGCTACCCTATCTGCAGCAGCAAGTTCTAGGTTAAGTAACACACTCTCAGTAAATAAATGACACTCTCATTAAATAAATGAATGAATACATGACTGTAAATAAGCTAGAAATGCTCTTGAGGAAGCCAGCCAGATGTCAGCCTCTGGTAACCACACATGTCTACACTGTTGAACACATGTATGCATATACCACATGCCCACATTCAAACTCAGCACTCATGCACTCACAATGGAAGTATCAAAGAATGTTGTTGGAAATAGTGAAATGTGTGAGACCGAACTACTTACAGTATTTTAATGCCTTCGTCAAGACTGGAAAAAAGATATTCAAGCTTCAATAATTTTCTAAAACGCAGGCGTAACATTCCTACGAAGTATCTAAGAAAATTTAAATTTCCTAAATAGTTATTCTCTCTCTTTTGCATGGAAAAAAATCAATTATGAATATTTCTATTGCAAGCATATTATTAAACTGATTTGTATTCTGTGTATATCACTTTCATAATTTATAAAATAACAAATCATATTTCATCAAATACCATAGAAGTTTATTAAGAATGTATATTATTCATAAAAATGTTTAAAGTGTAATTTTGTGATTCTTTTGTAATTCCATTTTTATAAATTTCATTTATCTCTTGGAAAGAAATAAACAAAGGATGTGGGGAAAAGTAACAGAGGACAAAGGAGGGTGAAAATAATTTCAATACTCTGGCCATATGCATGTGTGTACAGAAAATGTCAGATAATACACTGACGCAGACAAGCTATTTTATGTGTCTTTAGATAGGAAGTTTAGGACAAATTTAACTTAAAATTTGTTTGTATAAGATTTTCTAGTCACATATGATTGTACACTCCTTTAA